TAATGTTGTAGTTTTAATCGTAGAGTTGTAAATTAGTATAGGATAAAGGGAGGTCATATTATGTAGGTATTCAATGTTTGCATAACTATGTACGTAGGTTGGGAAATGTTGATCAATATTTTATTGTTTTTCGATTCTTTAACAGGTGCCTCCTTAACTAAACAATTTATAACTTATTGTCTACATTAAAGTCAAGCTTTATATAAATTAATGATTATATTGTATAATATTGCAATGCAACATAATTTTTTATGATTTCATATTGTATTGCGCTGTGTAGTGCATGGTTTTTTTATTGTATTGCATTGTATATGGGGATGTTAACGTATTCATTTTTTTTTAAAACGATCGTTTCGTTATAAAAAACGACGATGAAAAATGGAAAACGAAACGATCGTTTTTTTAAAAAGTTCGTTTTTGTAAAACTCGTCGTTTCGTTAACGATCGTTAATGAAGAATATGAAACCGACCTGAAGGGCATCTGTACTTATCATTGAGTAGTTTTTAAGAAAATATCAAGAAGTTTTAGTTCCCCCACAACTCTTCAACTTCATGTAAGACAACATTAAAAAAAATTGCATTTTTTTTTCAAAAACGATCGTTTTTAAAAAAGCGACCGTTTTATAAAGTTCGTCGTTTCGTTAACGATCGTTAACGAAAAATGTTCGTTAATGATCGTTAACATAATTGTCAATTTTTTTTTTCAAAAACGATCGTTTTTTAAAGCGATCGTTTCTTTAAAACAATCGTATAAGAAACGGTCGCAAATCGTTTCATAAAAACGTTCGTTTTCAAAAACGATCGTTATTCGTTTTCTAAAAGTTATAAAACGAGTGGGTCGTTTTTAAAAACGATTGTTTTTTTTCCGAAAACGAAACAATCGTTTTTGAAAACGATTGAAAAACGAAGCAAAAAACGATCGTTTTCAAAAACGATTAACAAACCTCTAATGTTAAAATACTGAAATGTTAATCAATTTAAGTTATGTGTGTATCTATAAAATGAAGTTGTAATCTCTGTTTATTTGTATGTCCAATCATTACTCGATAGAACCAGGGAAATGTTTTTCATTAAGTTGACTTTTTACAGGAAAAGCTGGATTCCCATGCTGGGTTTATATAAGCTTATACTCAGACTGAAATATTAAGTGTTGGCAGTTTTGTGCGTATACTGTATATATATATATATATATTATATATAGGTGACCAGGATGATCATGTGATANATTCATAATCTCACAAAGTCTGGATACATGGACGAGGAGACTGCTAACTATATTGAGGTCAAGCAGGGGGGACGGCACCTGCTTGATTCAAATCAGTTTGAATACAGGGTTACAAAGAAGAAACCCAACAAAAACTATTACCAATCCATTCAAAGGAAAAACAATTCTTGTCCTGCAGGAGCAGTTGTAAAAAATGAGAATGACAAGATTATCAGTTTCCTGGGAGAGCATTCACATGACAGTGATCTTTTGAAGAAAAGAGTACGTGAAATAGAAAAACAAGTAGTTAAAGAAAGCTCTGAAAATAAAGCAATAAGTCCACGAACTGTTCTTAGAAACATCTACAACAGCGGGTTGCAAAGATATGGGGATTAAACTGTCTGATCCAGGACAATTCTCTCAGATGACCCATTGACCAGTAATGCTGCAGAGGGGTTCAATGCTGCTTTTGCTTTATCTTTGCCCAATAATGCCAGCATTTGGGCTTTGATCCAGCAGTTGAGAACAGAGGAAAACTCCAATGATAGATAGAGATGAGAGATGTTCTTCTGGGACCACAGAATAATGTAGCAACAGCCACAACCAGTCGCAACCTAGGAAGAGATCAAAGAAGAATAGATTTAAAAAGCCTGGGTTCAAACTATGAAAAGAAAGTATCCATACAACAGTACATGACTGTCATCGTTGATTATGATAACAACTAGAAAGGAGGAGAGACTTTTTGTAAAGTTACGTAAGTTCTTATCAATGCAATTGTTTAAAATTGTTTCCTTATTTATATGCATATAAATATATATATACCCGAGTTCATTAAACTTAGTTAACATTTAGAAGGTCTACAACATCAGGTTGCAAAGATATAGCGATTAAACTGTATGATCTTGTAGAATTCATAGTTTGAAATATCTAAGGTCTACAACAGCGGGTTGCAAAGCTATATGGATTAAACTGTATGATCTAGTAGAATTCATAGTTTGAAATTTTTTAAAACAATGGTCCATTCAAAATCTACCAAGTCCGATGTTTTTTCTTATAAATGTACCTGTCCGACGTTTGTACTGGTCCGACGTTTGTACCAGTCCGACGTTTGTACTAGTCCGACGTTTGTACTGGTCCGACGTTTGTACTGGTCCGACGTTTGTGCGTCTGACGTTTGTACTGTCCGACGTTTGTGGCGTCCGACGTTTGTGCGTCAGACGTTTGTACTGGTACCATATCTATCTATCTATCTATCTATCTATATATATCTATAAATATATCAAATCTAATTTAGTTTCAACAATTAGCTACTACTTAAAAAAACGATTTTCTTCGAAAATTCTATATAAACAATTTGATTATACTGAAATTTGATAAGGGTTTCTACATATACCCCGGGAAAAAAGGTTTAAAATATAAATTGATCATTAATTGAAATAAAATGTTTTATTTATTTTAAAAAAAAACATTTTTTTGTCAAAACAAATGACAATTCTAAATCTAAACCAAATTTATTTTTAAAATTTAATCATCTATTATTTTGGGATATTCTTTATTACTCTTCTTTTAAGTATTTTAGGAAACTCTAATCTAGTAGTATTCTAGGTTATTCTACTCTAGTATAGAATATTCTAGTATACTCTACAATAGTATAAAATATTCTAGGATACTCTACGCTAGTAGTATTCTAGGATATTGTACTCTAGTAGTATTCTAGGATACTGAACTCTAATAGTATTCAAGTATACTGTACTCTTAAAGATTTAGAATCTTTCAATTTGATTTAGAAAACAATGCAGCGAGCAGTAGCAAATCTAAATCTCCCGGCTGAGAATTTGATAACTAAAATGCCTCCATTCCTCTCCCTTGCTCCCCTCCCTCCACCTGGCTACCTTCCCTCCTCCTTGCTCCCCTCCCTTCCTCTTCCTCCCATTCCTCTCCCTTGCTCCCCTCCCTCCACCTGGCTACCCTCAATCCTCCTGGCTTCCCTCCCCGTGGCTCCCTGCTAGCATCTTGATTAGTTGTGTAAAATTATGTTCTCTATACGTGACACTGGAACATGATATTCATCATACCTCAAAAAAAAGTACATCCATTGTATTACAGAGTTAACACTTGAGAACATTTCAAGAAGAAAAAACTGCAATTTCCTAGAAAACAAGCATGGTGTTTCATAGAGAAAATTACATTATGACTGTTAATGAGAATTCTGCATTAAGAGTATAAACTATACAGTAATAACAATAATGAATGTGTTTCAAACTAAATTGAGTGATTAGCATTATATGGTCGATATTCATTTATAACATGATTTGGTAGATTTAAGGATTTGGTATAAACAACACGTGCTGTTTTATACTCTAATGGGATTGGAATGTATCCTCTGATCAGATAGAAAGGTTAACCCTAGAACTTACGATAGTACAGTATCCTAGAATATTACTAGAGTACAGTATCCTAGAAGACTACTAGCGTAGAGTATCCTAGAATATTATTAGAGTAGAGTATCCTAGAATACTGCTAGAGTGGAGCGTCCTAGAATACTACTAGAGTAGAGTATCCTAGAATGCTACAAGAGTAAAGCATCCTGAAATGCTACTAGAAAGATTCTAAATCTTTAGCAGCTCAGCAATTAATATTATTTCTTCAGACTTCAGCTCAACCCAACGTTTAAAGTATAAAGAAAACATTAAGATACAGTGAGTTCCAAAAGATAACATTAAAACATCAAAACTATTGTTTTTTTTTACTAAACGAATGTTTTTAAAACACTTTTTAAAAACAATAAGTTTTTCTACTAAACTAACAATTTTTTCAATAAACTTTGAAAAAACAAATGTTTTTTTTGGAACGAACATATTTATTGAACGAACACATTTATTGAACGAATACATTTATTGAACGAATACATTTATTGAACGAATACATTTATTGAACGAATACATTTATTGAACGAATAACTTTTCTGAACAAACAATTTTACTGAACGAGCATTTTCATCAAACAAATGATTCATAGAGAGAAACAATAATTTTGCAAACGAACAAAATCTATAATTTTTTAACGATTGAAAAAAAGACAAAGAAAATGTGCCGTTCACGAACGATGAACTAACAAAATGAAAAAAAAGCTGATTGCGCACATCTCTACACAAGGGTTTGACACATTAAATTGAAAAAAATTAGATTTTGGTTGCAAAACTTAAGTGCTCCTGCAGCCTTTTCTGGGAGGAATGTAAACACACTTAGGGTCAAGGTACTAATGCAAGGAAAGTTATTTTAGAGGTGTACGCATTTTTTGTACTGGAGTGTACTGTCTTTGGGCGGAAAAGTAAAAACAGTTGACGGATGTCACAGCCTGACAAGGAATCAATTTTACCAAAATAATCTATGAAATATTCTGGTCATAGGGAACTATTATGTGAATGATCAAAATTATCAAAATTAAATGCTTTTGACCTCCTTGGATACCAGACGAACACTGATGCATCTATTCTTGTTTAAAAATTCCGCCCATAGAGAACTGGTTTCATTATGTACGCAGAGTATACGCGACCACAATTAACTTTCCTTGCATTAGTACCTTGGTTAGGGTTAGCTTTGTTGTACAACTACCAGAGTCTACATTTCACATTATATTGTTAAAGTTCATTTCGTATTCCTTGCTTCTAATATTCCTATATGTAAACAATTCTTTTACTTGTCCTATTTAAAAACATTTTACATCTGCATCATTTTATATTGATATATACACTCAGTGTTTAAAAAAATCAAAAAATTTTAAAATAAGATTCTAAAACTAAAATTGCAATCAATCACTAGTTTGCTACTAAATAACAATTCCTTATTTATTGCTCATCCTTATCCCCACTTCCTAAGATCCTAGTTTTCCCTTGTTATTTAATTTGTTAAAAAATAGAGACAACTTACAAAAAAATTTACCCCAAATAGCTAGAGTAAAACCTACTTCATGCTATGCTTATTTCAGATGATAAAAATAAATAATAACAGTGACGACATATATTTTACGAAAAAGTTAGTAAAAGTAATCAAAATTGATAAAGAATAATACTGTAGGTTACAAGGGTGGATAACACTGAAGTAAGTAGTGATTTATCAACAATGAAGAAGTCCAAGGCCGAGAAAGGAGTTTCATCTTCCACATCAACTATCAGAGAACTTAGAAGATCTCCATCTGTCTTTGTGGATCTGAGCCCCAGTTCTCTAAAAATTAGATCAAAATTAAGCTTCATAAGTTTTAAGACAGTGGCCGAATTTAAAGTATTTGAGCGGCGGTTTAAATTTAATTCGCGGCTTAAATATGGTTGGTTCCACTTAAAATTGTATCAAATGTTTCAAGATTTAAGCCAGCGCTTAATTTAAACCGGGTTTTGGCAGATTTAAACCGCGGCTCAAATTCTTTAAATTCCATCTCTGGGTTATTAACTTACCGTAGTGATTTCTTGTTACTTTTAAAGGTGTCAAATATTTGATCCAGAGTAGAAGTGATATAGAACATCTGTAATCCGATACTTGGAATAAATATTAATAGCAGAGCATTAAATATGTGTTTTACAACAAATTCAGTGACACAAATTAAAGAAAGCATTCTTGATGAAAATATAAGCAGAAGAATTGGTCCTAATCCTTTCTTCAGATTCTTAAACCTAGAACCAATCTTCTGATACTCTTCAATTATTCCAGTATAATATCTAGATGCAGAAAGTTCTTCAATATTTAGCTGTAGATTAGTTGTAATAGTTCCAATGAGTAGAACAGAAATGATTTCTGTTAGACAGCATAGAACCAGCAGACAACTAGTGAATAAAACAGAATTGGTGAATAGATATAAGCGGAGTAATGTGCCATATGATGCTACTGAAGCTAGAACAAAGAGAATGAAATGAATTTTACGCCTCGGTGCTTTTAGTTCAAAGTTCTTGATGATATCATTGTCTGCAAGCACAAGATATCCTAGGCATGGAAAGACCAGACATGTTTGTAATGGTAGAAGGATGTCAGTGCTCAGTACGGCAAACAAATATGAGACGTCTTTGCCAAGGTAAATTATAGTTTCCATGTCTTCATAAATTGTCCCCAATCCTAAAAATAGACTTAATATCATCCAAAAACATGTCTTGGTTCTTGAAATACAATTGGCCTTCTCGTGAATAACCCCTATTTTGACAAGAATAGCAACAGCTTGATGCATTCCACTTATTTCTCCCATATTTAGGCGGAGTTCAGGTTTACCGAGGAACAAGTAAATAACTGTTCAGTTTAGAAGCTTTCCTTTATAAATATCATGTATAAGAGGGAACAATTGATTAAAATAACACCCAAAAAGAGGCACCACAACATTTCCTCTTATGACCAGTGATCCTGTGACAGATGAAGGAAAATACACATAACATCCATTTGCAAGTTAATCCCATGGACAAGTGAACCAATGTGTTGAATGTGTTCTTTGATTGTGATATTTTTGGGCAAAATAAGGAATTATGCCATTTTCTTGGATAAAATATGAACTAAAGTTCAGATAGAAGGCACTGGGATGAGTAAAGAGATCAGATGTGACATGTAAGTCTGAACCTAAACTTGAACCCAGTCCTCAGAATTCAGCAGCAAAAAAAAAACAGATATGAACAAAATTCGGAACATAAACCATCTGAAAATCTAAATCTTAATTTGAACCTGGTCCTAATCCCGTGACTGAGTTTCCAAGCAATAGCATTTTTCTTTGAGATTCGTTGCGCTAAATTTCGCGCAATGATTTTGTTGCGTATGTTGCGTAAAACAATTGGCAATGAAAATTGCGCAATTTAGCGCAATAAAATCAAGCGCATTATGACGCAAAAACAACTTCTTATTTTGTTAATCATTGTGTTAATTGTAATTTGTGAACAACAATAATTGCAATGAAGATTGCGATATTTTTGCGCAAAAAAACAATATTGCGGAAAGACACAATTTTGAGTTTCAATAAAGAATAAAAACACTCTAAATAATTCCATTTATTAAAGGATTTGATTTTTTTCAACAAACTCAAAATCTCTAATTCCTATATCTTTGCTACCTGATAGTGTAAACCTTTGATATTTCAAACTATAGAGTATGTTTATAATTCAACAGAATTCATAGTTTGAATTAGCAAGGGTCTACAACATCGGGTTGCAAATATAAAACATTATATTTAACCTATAACTTCCATCATTAACCATCTACGTAATTAAGAAAAAACAGGAAATAAACATCTATAATGGATTCAATCTATTTTGCAAATAATGTGGCTAGAAGTATACTCAGGCATGAAGGTTTTTTTAAACTGAACTTATCCAAACTTTGTTTTTTATACATATTAATTTAGGTAAGGATCCTTCACTGTACTCATCACATTCTTGTCCCATTTCCCTCCCCTTTCATTCTTCTACTCCATTTTTAATTTCTTTTCAAACTTTTTTATTCTGTCAAGACTATATCAGTCTCTATGTTTGTATTTCCTTCTCCTGTACACACATATATAGCGGTTTCTAGGATTATTTTCTAAACTACCATGTTTACTTGTTACTTCTCCTTCACTATATAAGGGTTTCTAGGATTATTTTCTAAACTACCATGTTTACTTGTTACTTCTCCTTCACTCATATATAGCGGTTTCTAGGATTATTTTCTAAACTACCATGTTTACTTGTTACTTCTCCTTCACAAATATATAGGGATTTCTAGGATTATTTTCTAAACTACCATGTTTACTTGTTACTTCTCCTTCACACATATATAGGGGTTTCTAGGATTATTATCTAAACTACCATTTTTACATGTTACTTCTCCTTCACACATATATAGGGGTTTCTAGGATTATTTTACTTAGGCAGCTGGAATCTTGTCAGCCCTCCTCTCAGAATAAATAAAGCATGGACGGATGAATGTGCTGCCAGATTACAACCCTTGGCAGAGCAATACAAAACCCTACAACACCAAACTTTCGCAATAGAAAAATTCTGAGATTCGATCGTAACAACCCAATCATGTCCTGGGGACAAAAACATCTATTTAAAAAGATCTTCAATTTTACTCTTCAAATCTTTAAAATTGAAATGTATTGTTATAATTTTTTGAATCAGATGAAAAATTGAAACAGCCAAGAGTTGCTTTAAACTTTATCAATTAATGATTAATTCGCAATTTTTAACTCATTTCTATGTATTGTAAATACACATATACATGTATACATGATATTTTACCAAAAAAAATTAGGCTTGGTCAATGGTCAATACTCAGTTCAGCCATTTTGCGAGTTCTATTGGATTCAAACAATCAAACGAGGTAAAAATATTAATGACTCCTGTAAGTTTTCTCTGTATGTCAGGATTTTTATCTTTAGTTAAACCTAAATTCAAAGTTAAAATCAAGAAAACAGGAAAAGTATTTAATATGTATTACAAGTTTTTTTTTAAATGGTTTATTATTTCGTTATTATTTTGAAGTCTGTTTGTATCATGTTTAATGCATAAAACATATTTTACTTTAACTATTCACTTGATGTTTAAGAGTTTAGACTGCTTCAAAAAAACTAGTTGGAACTCAGTTAAAAAATATATTACAGTGTATTACATATATTTCTTGATTCTATACTTAAACAACCATATTAAAAAGATTATAGTTTTAATCAAACCATTACAATAAAGAAGTTTACAACTGCTGAAGAATAATACTGTAGGTTACAAGGGTGGATAACACTGAAGTAAGTAGTGATGTATCAACAATGAAGAAGTCCAAGGCCGAGAAAGGTGTTTCATCTTCCACATCAATAATCAGAGAATTTAGAAGTTCTTGATTTTGATTCTCAGATTTGTTCAATATTTCTCTAGGGTAAAAAATGATTAAAAAAAGTGGATATCATGATAAACATTTTAAATTAATATTTTACCTTAACGTCTTTTTAATATCCTTAAAGGTGTTGTAGCAGTCATCTAGAGTAAAGGTGATGTAGGACATCTGCAATCCAATACTTACAACAAATGACAAGAGAGGAATAGATGAAATGTGCTGCAAGCTAAAGTATGTAAATGAAAGAAGTACAATCATTCTTGTTGAGAATATTAGGAGAAGATTTGGTCCAAGTCCTCTCTTCTGATTCTTAAACCTATAGATTAATTTCTGACATTCTTCTCCCTTATGAGGATTAATTTCAACCTCATTCATCTTGATAATATTCAGCTGTAGATGTGTCAAAGAAGTACCAATGAGTACCACAGATATTATTTCTGTTATACTACATAAAGCCATCATGAAGCATATACAAATCGTATTAACAATCTGCGATAAAACGTTTGCCATAAAGGAGTGGGCAATTACTGAAGAAACTATAAAGAAGAAAAGATGAATCAAGCGTCTTGGGGGTTTTAATTCTGAGTCAATCATGAACTCGTTGTCAGCAAAGGTGAGATATCCAAGTAAAGGAAATGAAAGACAAGTTTGCAGTGGTAGAAGTATATCTGTACTCAAGACAGAATACATATAAGAAATATCATTGGTTGCACCCCAAATAATTGCTTTCATATCAGCATAGATCAAATATCCTCCAAATATAAAGCTTATTGTCATCCAAAGAGCTATTTTCAGTTTTGATAAATAATGGAACTTCTTATGAATAAATCCAAATTTAACAAGAATAAAAATAAACCAACACATTCCACTTTTCCCTTTCATGTTTATAGTTACTTCCTTTTGTAAGGCAAGAAGGCAGGCAACTGATGTATCAAGTTTTGGGTTGAGCTTTCTACTTTAAACAAACATAGAACTGACACTCAGGCAAATTTTATGAATTCAAAATAACTTTATTTCAAGATCTAGTTGGTTTAAAGATCTAGTTGGTTTAAAGATCTGGTTGGTTTGAAGATCTAGTTGGTTTGAAGATCTAGTTGGTTTTAAGATCTAGTTGGTTTTATAAATCTAGTTGGTTTCAAGGTCTAGATGGTTTTAAGATCTAGTTGGTTTTAAGATCTAGTTGGTTTTAAGATCTAGTTGGTTTTAAGATCTAGTTGGTTTCCAGATCTAGTTGGCTTTAAGATCTAATTGGTTTTAAGATCTGGTTGGTTTCAAGACCTAGATGGTTTTAAGATCTAGATGGTTAGAAGATCTAGTTGGTTTCTGGATCTGGTTCGCTTGAAGATCTAGTTGGTTTTAAGATCTAGTTGGTTTCAAGATCTAGTTGGGTTCAAGATCTAGTTGGTTTCAAGATCTAGATGGTTAGAAGATCTAGTTGGTTTCTAGATCTGGTTGGTTTGAAAATCTAGTTGGTTTCAAGATCTAGTTGGTTTTAAGATCTAGTTGTTTAAAGATCTAGTTGGTTTCAAGATCTAGTTGGTTTCAAGATTTAGTTGGTTTTAGGATCTGGTTAATTTTAAGATCTAGTTTTTCTAGGTTTTAAGATCTAGATGGTTAGAATGTCTGGTTGGTTTCAAGATCTAGTTGGTTTGAAAATCTAGTTGGTTTCAAGATCTAACTGGGTTAAAGAATTATTTGGTTTCAAAATCTAGTTGGTTTCAAGATCTAGTTGGTTTTATGATCTGGTTGGTTTCAAGATCTAGTTGGTTTCAAGATCTAGTTGGTTTCAAGATCTAGATGGTTTTAAGATCTAGTTGGTTTCAAGATCAGTTTGTTTCAAGATCTAGTTGGTTTCAAGATATAGTTGGTTTCAAGATCTAGTTGGTTTCAAGATCAATTTGTTTAAAGATCTAGTTGATGTAACAGAATTCATATTTTAAAATATCTACGACGTTAGGTTGAAAAAATAGAGATTAAAAAATCAGAGTTTGTGGCAAAGACTCAATTCATTTAGATTCCTTCAGAAGTTTTTAACATCCTCTGAAATAGTTCTGAGGTTCAAGTTATGAGAGAAATTTAAATTATGTTCACCTTCAATTTCCCAGTTTTACACTGCTAGCTAATTTTTTAACATTTAGACATTTAGACCTCTAAGTTTAATACTTAAGGTAGCCTAATTTTCAAAAAAAAAATTAGATCTTAGCAATCAATATTTTATTGATTTAAGTATACAAAAATAATTTGAGTCCAAAAGTTCGATAACACGGCGTACCAAAATAATAGTGTTAATGGTAATTTTATAAAATTGAAGAATTTTTTATGAGAAAATCATGGCTCCAATTAAACTTTATAGCACCGTCAAATACACTTTAAAGTTAATGAATGAAGTGAGCATGAATACACAATAGTTTCATAAACATTTTACTGTCAATTTGATTAAACGTTTTTGCTCTTTAATTCTAAAATAAATATTTATAATATTGTTATTTTGCTTTGTAGTGTTATAAGTATTTTGGACAGAAATTTTCTCTATATCGAGAAGGTTCAAGCCTTTTCAGATCTAATTTTGTCCCGAGCTTTAGCGAGGGACAAAATATAACACAGTTTCAAGATCAAATAAGATTTCAAACAAAATATAAAGTTGATATCAATTTTAATTTCATTTTAATAAAAAAAAATATATTTTGAAAATATCCTAAATTTTTTTGAGAATATCCGGGAACTCCGGGAACCAATCAAAACTAAGCACGATGATTACTTTATAGCACGCTCATTACGAAATTCACGATTAAGTGAGTAATAATGATAAAATACACAATAGTTTTATAAACAGTTATTATATTCAGACTGGGGTAGGCATCAAAATAAAAAACAATTCTTTCTAACTAACGGACAATCGTTTTTTAATAAATTAATTGTTCTTTTAATTTGTTTTTGTTTGATAAATTGACTGTTCACTTGTTTGTTTGTTAGCAACATATTTTAAGTACGAAACTTTGTCTGTGTATTTATTTGTATATCTATTTTCAGGGTGTCCCAAAACTAATTTTGAAGTAGGGGTATTATAATCCGTACTTTCGTTCAGTTAATATGTCATTGGAAAGCTCTACATTTCAGTTATTTCAAGGTGTACATTTTTTTCTTTTTTGTTACAACCATTTCTTTAAGTTTTCATTTTTAACTTTCGTTTCTTAGAGAAACTTTGCCCTTCCCTACTCTTTAATTACATTACAGAGCCAAACTTATAAATTTCCCTTTAATACATAATACAATAGTGGAAGGGGAGGAGGGGGGAGGAGTAAGGCTGGGCACGTGCCATATCATTAACGGTTAGTTCCAACCGTTAAAAAAGAAAATTTTCAGTTTGCCGTTAATTTTAGAAGTAAGAACAGAACGTTTGTTAACAGTATTATGAGTATTAACACAGTTAACGGTTTGTCAAATAATTAAAGGGAGTGTTCGCGAAAAAAGAAATGGGGTATAGGCTTAATGCGATAAAAAAGCGCGTTTGATCGCTAATAATCTTACTTCTATCTGTTGCGTCTAAAAGGAGAAAATTGTTAAAGACGTCTCATACCAAATAACTTAGCGCCCATACAAATTCAGAAAATTGCAACATACGACTTAGACCGTAAAAAAATCAATTTAATTTCAAACAAATCATTCAGATATTAAAACCTATAGTCATCGATTATTTTTCGCCACATTTGTAAATAGTTTATATTTTATAATATTTTTTAACTAATTTGTTTTGAATATGATTATTTCTCTTGCCGCTTGCGCAACTATCTAAGAATGCCGCGCACCACTCACATTTTTCGAAATCCGTTAAAACGTTTTCTAAAAAAATAAAATATCATAAAACATAAACTACATACAAACTTGGCGAAAGATAATCGATGACTATAGGTTGTAATATCTGAATGATTTGTTTGAAATTAAATTGATTTCTTACGGTTGTATGTTGCAATTTTCTGAATTTGTATGGGCGCTAAGTTATTCGGTATGAGACGTCTTTAACAATTTTCTCCTTATAGATGCAACAGATAGAATCCAAATCAACTATATTTATCCTATTCTGTGGCAGTAGGAGTAGTATCTACTATCTAGATATCCAAATCAACTATATTTATCCTATTCAGTGGCAGTAGGAGTAGTATCTACTATCTAGATATCCAACTCAACTATAGATATCCTATTCTGTGGTAGTAGGAGTAGTATCTCGATATCCAAATCAATTATATTTATCCTATTCTGTGGTAGTAGTAGTAGTATCTACTATCTAGATATCCAACTCAACTATAGTTATCCTATTCTGTGGTAGTAGGAGTGTATCTCGATATCCAAATCAACTATATTTATCCTTTTCTGTGGTAGTAGGAGTAGTATCTCGATATCCAAATCAACTATATTTATCCTATTCTGTGGTAGTAGGAGTAGTATCTACTATCTAGATATCCAAATCAACTATATTTATCCTATTCTGTGGTAGTAGGAGTAGTATCCACTATCTAGATATCCAAATCAACTGTATTTATCCTTTTCTGTGGTAGTAATAGTAGTATCTCGATATCCAAATTCAACTATATTTATCCTATTCTGTGGTAGTAGTAGTAGTATCTACTATCTAGATATCCAAATCAATTATATTTATCCTATTCTGTGGTAGCAGTAGTAGTATCTACTATCTCGATATCCAAATCAACTATATTTATCCTATTCTGTGGTAGTAGGAGTAGTATCTACTATCTAGATATCCAAATCAATTATATTTATCCTATTCTGTGGTAGTAGGAGTAGTATCTACTATCTCGATATCCAAATCAATTATATTTATCCTATTCTGTGGTAGTAGGAGTAGTATCTATAGATATCCAAATCAATTATATTTATCCTATTCTGTGGTAGTAGGAGTAGTATCTACTATCTCGATATCCAAATCAACTATATTTATCCTATTCTATGGTAGTAGTAGTAGTATCCACGTGGATTTAACGGTTCTGTCAATATTTCAGAAAGCTGTGATTTTCGATCACAATTTGACCCCTTATACATAATTGTATAGCCTTTTTTCTGAAATAATTTTTTGTTGGCATGTACATTTTAAATGCAAAAGTATAAAATAAACAAATCTGTTTAAAGATTGTTGAATAATAGACGAAAACCCGTTTGATTTCAAATGAAAGAAACCAAATGCTTCTCTCTCTGGTTGTTCAGGGTGTATCTAGATATCCAAATCAACTATATTTATCCTAATCTGAGCAGAACCCAGATTCTTAAAAGGCTGGAGAACTCCGAATTTTTTTTATCAAAATTTAACGGTTACCATGATCTATTCTCAACATTTAAGGTTTTGAACACAGAAGACGACATTTAAAAACATCAAAATATGATACCATTTTTTTACAAGTTTAATGAAATTTTAAGCAGAAAAGAAAAGAAAATTCACCATTAGAAAATCGTTTTGTTTTCGTTTTCAATTGTTAATTATTTTTACCAAACGGCTAATCTGTTTCGTTCACAGTTAAAAAATTAACGGTTTTTGCCGTTCGTTCACAGGCTCTTCCGTTAATTTTCGAAAACCTCCGTTTCATTAACGAAACTGTGCCCAGCCCTAGGGAGGAGGGGAGGGAAATGAGAGAAGGAGGCCTCTTGATCATTGGACTCTTAAATTCTCTCTTGTCTTAACTTCTGAATTTCTGAGTTATTGTTTCCCTCCCGTCTCCCTGTTCGGTTCTCTTTAACACAGGCTCCTTCTATGTACAGTGGTCAAGGATTATATCAATACAATTGAAGACGAAGTTTCTATTCAAGTTTTAATGTCTAACAAGCTTTTTCAAATTACAAGTTTCCTAAAAAAATAAAGAGAAACTGTTTATTGACAGCTTCTCGTTGTTTCCATGTTCATGTGCATCCGGCCATGTTGATTAAAATCTTCGTAGAAATCAAAATTGAAGTTAAAAGTCGTCTTCATTTTTTGATTTAAACGACGATGACTGTATAATTAGATTAGATCATTAGATCTTTCATAGTTTTAATTCTTGGATAGATTAGTAGTATTATTAATTTTTTGTTTACAAGACAAAAATGTTAAAATTTGGAATCTTGTGTTTAGTTCTTCTAATGCTAGGTAATACTTATTTACATTTACATTTAAGAGAGTTTCACTTTAACAAGGATTTCCAAAACCAAAATTGCCAACAAAACATCCAGAGCTTAAACCTGTGGTTAAGTAAAATTTTCAATTTCCCAAAAACGTACATTCTTTTGAGATGGAAGCGGGCGAATTTTTCATGTGAACTTTGCAGACTTTATAAACTTGATTTAAAAAATTAAATAAAAATAATAAGTTGAATTTGTGGAACCTACTGCTTTTTCTACATTTTCCATACACTAGCACAGAACGTTGGAGACATCGAAATAATTTATAATATGCCATCTTCACAATTTTTCAATGGGTTTTATACTACAGGGTGTCCCAATAAACATGGGAATTCAGTGACGAATTCGATATCGTCTTTGTTATGAATTAGCATTGTAATACCTAATTCATAAAACCATAATATTATTATGTCTGCTAGAGTTTATTTAATGAAAACGGTAAAACAGTGGAGACGGACAAGCTTACTCTGTTTGCAGACTGTAATTTTCTTGTTTTACAAAGTACAACCGTATGCAGTCAAATCATAAACAAACTAATTGTAAACAAAGCAGACGAAAATTTTACAGATTACGCTTTCTCAGTAGGTATCACTATACTAAATCAAAGAATTATTTAAAACGACGATATCGAATTCGTCACTGAATTTCCATGTTTATTGGGACACCCTGTATTACACCTAAATTTAAGATTGTAAAAACAAATAAATAGCCATGAAATATGTGAGAACAGTTTTAAAGAGCTCCATATAATTTCAATTAAAAAACGAAATATCTGCAGCATTCCATTTTCAGTAGGTTTAGAAAATGACATTTTAAAAAATGTTTCGATGACTGAAGTTCTGGGTTAAACTATAAATAATTCAGGTAGTCCCATCTTCTCCCATCCATTTACCTTGGAGGAGGAGAACAGGATGAGGGCGGATTATGTCTCTGTGGATGAAAGCATGGTGAGTTACATCTTTTATATAATAAAACAAGACTTTCGCATATGTGTGCCGTATAGCCGGCCGAACGGCTGGACCGAATGGGCTGAAATTTTTTGTAGGCAGTCATGTTTTTTTTCTTCCACGGGCAACGTCCAGCTCTTCAGCTAGTGTTTAATATTACTCTAGGGAAGGGAGGGAAGGCACATCACACTTTTTTTCACGAATGAGGTCACAATTCACAATTTTTTTCATTTGATCACAAGTGAGGTCATAATTCACCATTTTTTTCGTCCGATCACACCTTTTTTCGTCCCACATTGTTTACATTCTTTCTTAAAGCACTTTACACGTGCATTATTATGTATCATTTTAGTAATTTAGCAAATCAAAACCAATTGCTCTGCTTCCTACTAAACAAATGTTAACTTTTAGTTGTAGATTTCAAAAATCCCAGCAATCATCACCTAAAAGTTTTTGGAGTAAAATAAGAAAACAGAAAAGTGTGTGGTCCAAGCGAAAAATAGGTGTGTTCTGAACGAAAAATATTGGGCTTAATTATCGTTTTAACAAAATCAAATCATATTGATTAACATGATGTTGCCTAAAGGAACTGAGTTTTTGCAACAATCTCAAATTTTCTACTCCCTGAATCATTATATCCTGATAGTGATATGTCTTAAGCTATTTAATCTAGCAGAATTCATAGTTTAAAATATCTAAGGTCTACAACTTCGATGCAAAGATTTAGAGAAAATTAGAGTTTGTGGCTCAAACTCATTTCTGGTTTCATTTTTAAAACCGGAAACAATCTCATGTCTATAATGCAGAAACTAAGTATTTGTATGGGCCGGGGTTGGGGGTGAGGGTGGGTTCGGAAAATTATAAAAATGATTCAAAACTTTTTAAAATTTACCTGAATAAATTAATCGAAATAAAATTAAGCCCAAACATGTGTACCTAAAATTATCTTTATTTACCAAAGTAACCAGAAAAATTTACAAAATCTTAATTTGCTAAAAAATAGTTTTAAAAATAAAAGACAATTTAAAATCAACCCCTTGTATGGTCCCACTGCTCAATAAAAAAAACAAGAAAAAGAAACTTTTGAATGTTTGGTGGTTGTGATATAAGATTTAGTCATTTAAAAAAAATCATATTTAGACTAGGGTTTCCAATACAAGTGAGATTTACTTCCGCGCAATTGCGAGCCCTGTAAACTCTGGCGCAATTCCGCACAGTTGCTCGCCATTCCGAACAATTTCGCGCAATTCCGCGCAATATCACGCAACAGAATTCCGATTGGAAACCCTAAATTTTAATCCATTTAAGAATATTCTGAAAGCAGCGCTGGCAGGAGTAGTTGAGCTGAGGGCTGCTATTAAGCACTATCAAGAATCCAAGGTTTGCTGGGACTTTCTTCCAATCATAGACAAGGCAGCAGATATAGAAACGGTGAGTGTCAACAAATATCAAATGTATTATTGTTTATAATGTTAGAGTGACATTTCATTTAAGGAGGAGTACAATGCTTGATTTACAACGATATCCTTTATCAAAGTAATGGAAAAAATCGTCGTTTTTCTTGCTTAAAAAGTGTTAAATTCTGACAATTTCATTTAAGTTTTTCTATGCAGCAGAACAAACATGGATATCTCATTCAAGGTTATAATGCAAGGAAAATATTTCAGAGGTGTACGCATCTTTTGTACTGCAGTGTACTGTCTCTGACGGATGTCGAAGCCTGACATGGGATTTTTCTTTTACATAAAAAATCAATGAATTATTCTGGTCATAGGAAACTATTATGTGAATTCTCAAAATTATCAAAATTTAATTCTTTTATCCTCCTCGGATACTAGACGAACACTGATGCATCTATTCTTGTTTACAAATTCCGCCCAGAGAGAACTGGTTTCAATATGGTATACGCAACTTCAATTAACTTTCCTTGCATTAAAACCTTGATGGTACCATTTAAACTGGAGTTGGCACACTATGAATAGCAAGTCAATTAAAATATCGTCTGCGGTCCCTTTAAACGTCAGGAAATGTCGAATTTTGTCATGTTACTTGTTTTTATATTGATCCAGTGTTTCTTTGATTGAGATCGATTTAAAAACTGTTCTCCCTAAAAATATATATTTTGTTGGTCCATAACGGCTTATCATTAAGATACGTCATAACAGAAAAGTAAAAACTTAGAACTAAGTACCAGTTGAGTATTTCCAGCAAAACAAAAGATACCAGTGGTTTGGTTAGATCAACCCAAGTGCTCGACGACACTGCTTGATAATATAATGATTGATAATATAAACTTGATTGAAATTAACCTCAACTGTAAAGAAAAAATCGCATATTGCACACTAAACATATATTTACACGTAAAACATAATAAAACAATACGAATTAGTTAAACTTATGGTTACTAGAAATTCTTCTTTCTAGGCTTTTAGGGCGCTTTGCGCCCATCTTCTTTTTAAATTGTGAACATGTTCTTTTTGTTTACATTTTAAAACAAAGAAGAAAAAGATGTTGCGGATTTTTAAAAAAAAAATTGCGGATTTTCAAGAATTTAAATTTTTTTTACAAAATTAAAAACCTTTAAAACAACTTTTTTTATTTTTATCATTCATAAACCTTTCCTGTGGTCACGTGATATCCCACAAAAAAAATTGGGCCCGATCGGTTCAGTCGTTTTGACGTTTATTGGATACAAACAAACAGACACCCAAACAGACAAACAAGCAGACAAGCCAAATTTATATATAGACTAGGCTTTTAGGGCGCTTCGCGCCCATCTCCTATTTCAACTTTTAACTGTGGCTTTATCTCTGAACATCTTCTCTTTGTACAGTATAAAACAAAAACGAAAAAAGTTTGCGGATTTCATAATATTTTTTGCGCATTTTCAAAAATTTTCAAAAAAAAACTTTTAAACACAAATTTTTATCTCTTAACATCTTCTCTTTGTACAGTATAAAACAAAAACAAAAAAAGTTTGCGGATTTCATAATATTTTTTGCGCATTTTCAAAAATTTTCAAAAAAAAACTTTTAAACACAAATTTTTAAAACTTTGATCATTCATAAACCTTCCATGGGGTCACGTGAGGTTCCACAAAAAATTTGGGCCCGATCGGTTCATTCGTTTTGACGTTTATTGGATACAAACAAACAGACAGACACACAGACAGACAAGCCAAATTCATATATAGATTGAGAACACATATTCGAATGTTCGCCTCTACAGCGACTACAGCGAATGTTGAGCTGATCAACTGCCTTGGTAGATTTCCCTTGATCTCAGTACTTCAACCAAACAACCCTAGCATCATGTTTGCCTTTCAAGCTAACAAAACTTTCCGTTGGCGTCCCAGTCTATTTTTAGATTCTATATACAAACACTACATATGTTGTTCCCCAGCTTTGATTATTGAACAGGAGTATTTATTTCCACACTCCTTATTTACATATTGTTGAAAATAATCATTATGCCATAATAATAACCTTGTTTACAATGTCTCCCTACATTTTTAAAACTATTTTGTTCAGATCATTTGTAAGCTGAAAAACAAGGAAATCTGTACGATGTCGAAGATGCTGAAGATTCACTTTATCAAAATGGTAAGAGCCCTGAAACGGCCTAAATCAGACATATCCACAAAAATACCACGCTGGAATAAAGTAAATTGCACGTATAGATATTGTTTTCAATCCTAACTCTTCTTATTAAAAAACAATTCAAACGAACAAAAAAGTTTTGGAATTTCTAATAAGATAATTTCCCCCCCCCCATGATGACAAAGTTGGGGGAGTAATATTGTATAAATTTTACTTTCTTCTTCTCTGTAGTTTGCATGGATACATTGCAGAATAGATTAATAACGTATTTGTGAAAAAAACTCTTTACTAAACTAAACTAAAAATATGAATAAGCCCACTGGAATCAGTCGTTGAAGGATATATATTTACCAACAATATTTCCCGATTACAACAGCAGACACACAACAGAATGAACCCCCGTCTCAAAAATCGATAACAAAGAATTCTCTTTATTTCCTGAAAAAAATACATATATGATAACGTCTACAAAATGTTATAATGAATGTTTATAATGAAAAAATTCTTACGATCTAATACCTGATGACAAAGGGGTTAACAGTAGTTGGACAGTACAAAAAGACTTCTGACTTCTGAAATGACGAAAGTCAATAATTCTTTATATGAAAATATTCTTTGTTTAACTTTTTTGAAAATGGATTCACAATGCGAGGTTGTTTACGACTCCGAGAGGGAGAACAAAGGGGGTTAAAATTGTTGGGTGGGGGATCTAAGTTAAAGAAGACTTTACACGGAGCCTATAGTTAATGGTTGACAAGTCTATTTCGCGGATAATACGTCTTTTACTCATTTTGTTTATGTAGATAAATACGGAATTCTTTGTCAGTCAAGATCTGTCAAAGGTTTAAACTTAATTAAACTTAATTAGTGAATCTCGAATGCCCCATTTTGGCATGGAAGGTCATTTGAAATAATGCTTACAGTCCTTTAAACTAAAAATAATATAAAATATAAATATAATCTTAACTTTTAATGTTGTTTCGTACCTTGGAATAAACAAATTTGCAGATTTTCTGTTTTTCTTGGTCAAATTGCTAAATTATTTATGACATTCCTCAAATACAATATAAAAAAATTGTGATGGTAATGTATTGTAGGATGTTGAAAAAAGTAAAAACTTGGAGCAAAATGGTTGTTTTATTTGTTTCAATCTTCCTCGCTTAATTTTCACAGTCATTTTTATATCATAATAGTTTTTATTAAAAAAATAAACAATTGTTGCTTGACACTTTTGGAAAGTTTTTTCTCCATTTCAAAACTTATCCAAAAAACCATATCAAATTTTGAAAATTCATGAATAGAAAAGGAAAATTTGAATTATGTTTTGTTGTTATTGGGAATGTTGGCGCAATTTCAAATGATGCGACATTTAAATTTCAAATTTAATCAAAATTTGTATTGCCATTAAAGATGACATTATGATTCGGGCATGCAATTATTCGACAGCCTTTTCAATACTAGTAGAGCATAATCTTCTAGATGTTTTATGTTGTTTTCTCCATGTATGTACATTCATTATATACAAGACACATAAAGAGTAAACCCAGTTTGATGCACTCGCATTTTTAACACAATTTTTGGCAAATTGTTTTTTTAATGCATTGGGAACTGGGTAGGGTACAGGACGGTAAACATGCTAGTCACTGTTCAAACAAATCTAAAATATTAAAATGTATTTTTTTGTTATTCATGCTACAGATCTAAAAATAAAAAAAAAACTTTTTCTATTGTTACTTCTCATATTGGGTTTTTAAGAACTCTAATTGTTGTAAATTTTTATGGCTAAGAATGGATCTCATAATATGTTCCTTTAAAGACTGAGGGGAGAATTTTAAATTAGAATTGAACGGTATGGTTTTTAGGCTTCTAAAAAATATCAAGTTAGCAGGAATGTGGAATTTACTGGATAAATGAATGTACACTAAACTTACAAAATACATTAACATTGCACACACAAATGATCTCAGTTTGTCCTCAAGTTGAAACGGTGTTCTCCTCTTCTCCAAACTCTTCCTGACGACTTACCTCTTAGATTCAGGTAATATCAGAACATATATCTAGGATTGTTAATCGTTTTTAGATACGATAGAACAGACAGACAGTTTTTTGTTTATGAACTACGACGAACGACGAACTAAAACTAAAAAACGACTTCTTCGTTTTTTAGTTAAAAAATGACCTTTTTCAAAACGATAGTTTTTCTTTATTCTTTGATGTTTTTCAAACGAAATAGTCGTTTTTCATGAAAGTGATAATGATCTATCCCTATTTATATAGTCTTCTACTATCTATTATGGTTCTATAATATCTTTGTTTTCTAACATCTAATGTTTTCTAATCTCTATTATTCTCTAAATATCTAATGTCTAATATCTTTCCTTTTCTAAAATATAGTGTCTAATTTATATTGTATTCTAATATCTATTGTTTTCATATATATATTGTATTTAATATCTATTGTATTCTATTATATAGTGTATTCTAATATTTTTCATATTCAAATATTTATTGTATTCTTATATCCATTACATTCTAATATATATTTATTGACAAAAAATCTATCTTATAACACCCCCCCCCCCCACCCACATAATGTCATCTTTACTAGCCCCAAATACAAACCAAACAATTTCTCCGACACTACCTCAGTACTCTTAAAAATGAAAATTGAAACAGTGAAACTAGTGAAAAATCAAATCCACAAATAACTTTGCAATCCATAGTAAATTCCTCTTAAAAAAACGGGTCTATATTTTCAGAAGTATTTATAAATGTTTTAAACTATTCCATCAAACCCTCCAATCCTTAATCACTCCTTCTCACCCTGACACAACAAAATAGTAAGATATATTATTAAACATTTAATAACATAATTACATTGACGTTTATTGTTACTTTCTCTATTTTTTGTAGGTTTGAAATATATCCATTTGCGTGAATATTTGCAACTTTTGTGTCCGAGTTAATGAGCTCAGTCTACATGTCAACTAAACAATGAGTCTACAAGTCAATTAGTCAACTTAGTCACCCGCCCGCCTATAGTTTTACAATATTGTATTCTAATATACATTGTGTTATAATATCTATTATATTCTAGTATCTGTTATATTCTAATATATATTGCATTCTAATATATATTACTAGGCTTTTAGGGCGCTTCGCCCCCATTTTCTATTTAAATTGTGAACATGTTCTTTTTGTTTACATTTTAAAACAAAGAAGAAAACAATTTTGCGGATTTTTAAAAAAAAATTCGCGGATTTTAAGAATTAAAATTTTTTTTACAAAATTAAAAACCTTTAAACCACATTTTTAATTTTATTTTTATCATTCATAAACCTTCCCTGTGTGGTCACGAAATGTCCCACAAAAAATTTGGGCCCGATCGGTTCAGCCGTTCTGACGTTTATTGGATACAAACAAACAAACAGACAGACAGACAAGCCAAATTTATATATAGATATTGTATTCTAATATATATTGTATTCTAATATATATTGTATTCTAATATATATTGTATTCTAATATATATTATATTCTAATATATATTGTATTCTATTATATATTATATTGTAGGTCTTCTATCGGAAAATGAGAAAACAAGTAATGATTGTGAACTATAAGAAAATGATATGAATATGTGTTTATTGGAAATTATAAAAATAAACCCTGCAAAATATAATTTTGAATTTTTAAAAACTAATTTAGCTTTAATATAAATTGTTTTGAGTTGAAGGTTTTGTTTAATTTGTCATATTTAGGTTTTAATATGTGTTCTTTTCTTAGATTTTTGTGCTTTGCACCATTTTTTTATATTGAAAAATATAAACTCCTCAAGATATCTCTTCAATCAACCGGTCCCAAGTTATTTCTTATAGGGAGATACTGGCTAGGTGAGGGGAGGAAGGCCAACCACAACATCTCGTCCGAGCCACATTCTCCTCATTTTCTCTTCTGAGCCACCTCGAAATCCTCGTCCTTACAGTATTTTTTTTAAATGTCTTACCCTTTTAAAGATGAATTTTTTTTGAAATCTGGCAAAGTTATGGTAAAATTAAAGTACAAAATTTTCTCAAACAAATTTTAGATTTATTAAAAAAATGAATATAATCAATATACAATGTTCTACACAAAAAAAAAACACCTGTGTTAGTGGGAAGGACAAGCATCTCGAGGTGGCTCGGACGAGAAAATGTGGAGAATGTGGCTTGGAGGAGAAATTATTGTCGCTGACCTTCCTCCACTCGGGTAAGAAACAGTAATGCCACAATACATTCTGAACACTATTCAAGTCGTAAAATTTCAAATTTGGATCAAAAGGTTGAGATGAATGAATTGTAGCAAATGATTGAAATATCTTAAATACAATATTTTTATCTCCTTGGATAACTTCGTGTGACAGAAACTAGAAGTGATTTGATACGAGAACAATACCTTTGCCTTTATTAAAAAATATTTTACAAATCAATGATTTTCTTATATTGGTGAATAAAGGATATATTACATTACCATGCTCAAGCAAATCCTTTGATATAATTTTTAAATTATGAAAGTTTGGCACTAGACAGGTAGAAGAGATTTAAGTTTTATCCTAAATAAATGCTTGAAATCATACTTATACGGATTTGAAGGTTCCAACATAAGAAAATCCTTTGCTATCTTAGTCTAACCAAGTGTTATTTCCGAACGTCTCTAGATTTTCAACCAAAATTAATTTGCAAGGGTTGGATATATACAAATAATTTTGTTGGATGAAAGGGGTTTTTCGATGTGGCTCGGGCGAGAAAACATGAGAAGTCATAGTAGAACCAATTGGGCGCAGGGTATATGGTAAATATACTCAGGTCGGACCAGTACAAACGTCAGACTGCGCAGTTAAAACGTCGGACCAGTACAAACGTCAGACTGCGCAGTAAAAACGTCGGACCAGTACAAACGTCAGACGGGTACATTTGTGAGGAAACACGTCAGACTTTAAGTAGATTTTAATTAGACCATTTGATAAAAAAATCACTCAGTTTTTAATAAAAAAAAATCCGAGTTAGAGGTGATCTAATATCTTTAAACTTTGTTAGATTGCGAATTTTTCACTCAGTTCAATGCAACGTTTTTATTGGTCTGACGTTTTGGTACCGAGTGCAGTACGGTACAATAGATTCAAATTTTAGGATTCATTTAATATCAATGAGATGTTTTCACCTTGTATACTTTCCTTGATACTATCTAAGTAGGAGCATGCATTTCTTTGTCAAATTTCACCGAATGGGATGGTCCGCAGAATAAACAATTTTTTACAATTATTGAATAGCCCCAATAAAATATATCACATAATTATTCTACAAGCTAATTTTCTATTTAGGAACATATTTTTCAAAATAAATTATAAAAAATCATTGTAGAATCGATTATTTCTTTATCATTATCTTGAATCTGTTGGAAACGTTATGTAAAATAGATGCCTGCCATTAGTTTGTGGAATGATTTTTGTAACATTTTCCATCCATGTTTTCAAATAATTGTAAAAAATGTTTCTTTCGCGGACCATCCCTTCTGGTAAATTTTAAAAAGGAATTTACACTTTTACTTATTCACCGTTTCAGTGGTATCAAATGCATCCCAAATATTTTATTTAATAAATACTGCACTCATATGGTTCAACTATGTTAACTAGCTAGCCGGTCTCTCTTTTTAAACCTACTAACTGGTTCCAGATAATAAACCTACTGTACGTTGGTCCCAGATACTTCTTAAACCTACTGTACATTGGTCCAAGATACTTCTTCACCCTACTGTACATTGGTCCCAGATACTTCTCAAACCTACTCTACAGTGGTCCCAGATACTTCTAAAACCTACTGTACGTTGGTCCATGAAACTTCTAAAACCTCCTGTAAATTGGTCCCAGATACTTCTAAAACCTACTGTACATTGGTCCCGATACTTCTGCAACCTACGGTACATTGGTCCCAGATACTTCTTCATCCTACTGTTCATTGATCGCAGATACTTCTTCAACCTACTGTTCATGGGTCCCAGAAACTTCTAAAACCTCCTGTACATTTGTCCCAGATATTTCTAAAACCTCCTGTGCATTTGTCCCAGATATTTCTAAAACCTCCTGTACATTGGTCCCAGATACTTCTTCAACCTACTATTCATTGGTCCCAGATACTTCTTCAACCTACTGTTCATTAGTCCCAGATACTTCTTCAATCTATAATACAGTAGGCATCATAAATACATAATTTTCCTGAACATTTTGTGCTAAATTTATTTTAAAAAATACTAGAAATTGAATACCAATTGGCCAGAAAAACAGTTAAAAATTGCTTTTAAACCTATTTGATATGAGTTTTCGTGCTCTACGAGTTCATAATGCATAATGAACAAATAAGGTTTCACAACTTTTAGGAATAAACTTGCATAAAGTCAAACGTCAGACTGGTTATAATTTACCTTGGTTCCATTATTCCGAAAAAATTTTAAGTTTTTAAATGGAATAATCCGAAAAATTGTTTCTTAAAGTGTAATTCCGGGATGATTCCGGATCAAATGGAAACCAAAATGTTTACGGTTTACGTTACCGTTTACAGGAGTTCCAGAACCTCCACAATGGAAATGGAATAGAATTCCGAATCATTTACGCACAGGTAACCCAGAACTTAAGAGACAATAAAAGATTTTATAAAAAAATATCGAAAAAAATGAAATATGGTTTAAACTTAAAGGTGTGCAAAGAAGAAATAAATATTAGACAAAGGCATTTTAAAGTATAATTCTAATTCGTGCCAATTTTTTACTCCTTTAAATTTCTTTTGTCTTTTCTTGTCAATCTGTATACATGTATGTACCAGCTGTATACTGTATACCAGCTGTATACTGTATACCAGCTGTATACTGTACACCAGCTGTATACTTTAAACTGTATACGGTGTACCAGCTGTATACTGTATACTAGCTGTATACTGTGTACTGTATACTGTATACTAGCTGTTTACTGTATGTACCAGCTGTAAACTGTATACCAGCTGTATACTGTATACCAGCTGTATACTGTATACCAGCTGTATACTGTATACCAGCTGTATACTTTTACCAGCTATATGCTGTACACCAGCAGTATTTTATACACCACCTGTATACTGTAAACTGTTTACTGTGTACCAGCTGTAAACTGTGTACTGTTGTTGTCGGATAGGAACAAGATTCTCAATAATGAACAGATAGACAACTGGATAACCCTCAAATCAAAATCGATAATGCAGAGAAACTCTTTATTTCCTAAAAAAATGAAATGGATAATAATGCACGAGTTTGGTACAAAGTTTTATAATTTTACAATGAAAAGATTCTTACGATCTAATTAGGGATGAGAAGGTTAAACTGTCGGGGAGTCCTAAGACGTTTTTATATATTAAAACTTCTGAAAAGAATGACAATTAATTGTTAACGAAATTCACTAATTCTTTATATGAAAATATTTTGTTCACAATAATAAAAGATGTTTAGACTCCGTTACCGGAGAACAAAGAGAATGGTGCGAAAATAATTTGGTTTGGTGTCTCCGAGAGGGGATTTTAAGTTAAAGACGACATTACATGGATGGGCGGGGGGTCTTGTAGTTAATGGTTGACAACTGTATACTGTATACCAGCTGTAAAAGCTGTATACCAGCTGTAAACTGTATACCAGCTGTATACTGTATACCAGCTGTATACTGTCTACCAGCTGTATACTGTATACCCCTGTATACTGTATATTAGATATAAGCTTTAAACTATAACACTGTATACCATGTATATATTGTAAACTGTGAACTGTGTACAGTGAATGTTTTTACTAAAATCTCTTGATGTCGGCTCTTCTCTAACCGGCAGATTTAAACACAGCTTAACTTCAGAGTTTTAATTGAATTCACCAATTCCCAGGGTGTCTTACAAGGGTGTATTCGTGAACCAAAGATATTTAAAGGTTTTACACATATTTTATTATCATAAACCTTCAGACCGATGATTCGGTACTGCTCGCAACATAAAGCTTGATAACCATTAATTATATAAAATATTATCAACAAATACTGTGTATGAACACTGTGAATACTTTGGAAATATTGGTGAAAGGCCATTTGTTATCTATAAAGAATTTTAAGGTTGCATAAACTTTTCGCCATGAAAGTGTAAAATGAATACGTGATGAATAAAAACATTCTTTTTATTTTGGTTCTTGACTTTTTAGGACGCCCTAAATATTGAATAAGTAATTTCTAGATGAAAGTTTTTGTTTTTGACATCTATGTATGTTGGTTGGGATGTAATGTATCTACGTAGTTTGATAGAGAAGATTATAATAAGATTTATATCTTATATTATTGCATATTGATTTACTTTGAATATTATAAAACTTTGTTCATCAAAATAAGATTAGGGTAATAAATATCGTGTAACACTAGATCTGTAAACCTGAATAACATTGTACATTATAAATTATCTACGTTGTAAATAGCAATGCAAAACCCATATTGTGATTTAATTCTACTGCACTGTAAATAACTATGTAACATTATCATCTTAACTACTTTGTAAATATCTATCGACGTAAAACTTGTAGTCACATCAATTAACATTAACTTGTAACATAGAAACCCCAAATACAGTTAGTTGGAATTTACGGTGAGAGAGTAATTGATCCTTGTTTGAACGAAGGAGTTGATGATATCATGCGCATTGGTTTGGCATTGATAGTTTACTAGCTTGTGTCCATGTTGACATTGATAGCTGCAGACGAGATCGTGCCCATCGGTCTAGCATTGATAGTTTACTAGCTTGTGTCTGTGTGAGCATTGATAGCTGACGAGATTGTGCCCATTGGATTGGTATTGATAGTTTACGAGATCATGTCAGCTTTTGAGACTGAAATTGAAGTCAAATTGTGTTGTACCTGGATAGATACGGGTTTGAGTTTATGGAGTAGGGCATTTACTACAGGATGTACTACGAAAGTAAAGCCGGAAAAATATTTAACCTATAAATATCTAGTTTATACACGAAGATTTTTTTGCCGCTAAGTGTATCCGCTAAGTGAAATCCTTGAAATATTGAGAGCAGAGACCAACAAATTGTCGTTTAAAGTACAGGGTGTCCCAAAAAACATGGGAATTTAGTGACAAATTCGATATCGTCTTTGTTATTAATTAGCATTGTAATACCTAATTCCAAAAGCCATAATATCATTATGTCTGCTAGAGTTTAGTTTATGAAAAGGGTTAAAGACTGTAAAAATGTGTCTATAATGTCTCCGCAAGATGAACAGTGAAGACGGACAAGTTTACTAAGTTTGTATACTGCAATTTTCTTGTGTTACTAAGTACAACCGTATGCAGTCAAAACATAAACAAACAAAATGTGAACATAGCAGACGAAACAGATTACAGCTTTCTCAGTAGGTATCACTATACCAAATCAAAGAATTACTTAAAAAGACGATATCGAGCTCGTCACTGAATTCCCATGTTTATTGGGACACCCATGTATATTATATAAAAAATACAAAAAATTATATTATGAAATAACAACTTTATTTGAATGCATCAAATTGAATTCGACATTTAAAGGTTGTTATAATGATTTAAACAAATTATTTACGATCTGAGAAGTTTAATGCAGCCGTGTCTTGGGTATAATATGCTATGTTACCATATCCTCCTCTACATATATGCAACAGATGAAAGAAAATGAATAGTGATGAATATTGAATTTAATTCGATATCAGCCTATACCCCTTTCCGTTTTCTGGTACTCTCCCTTTAAAAGAATAAACGATAAATTCTTCTCTTATAAATAACGAGGATACTATAGATTTCTTACTAATTCCTCAAAAATATAATCAGAAAATAGGAGGTATAATCACATAGTAATGAATACAATATTTATATATTGTTTCGCTACTTAGCGATTTCCCTAAAGACCTAATATATATATCGTGTGGTATTTCTCAGGACCGGATCGTAAGACTCCCTTCTCTCAACGCTCTTCATAATAAAAGGATGATAGTAAGGTTCCGAACGTTTATTTCTCTGAGCCTTCAATCTAAATAAGTTTAATAAACCCACAGAAAAAGCTTTGAGTGATGAATCATACAAATACAACAAATAATTCACTCAGGCATTAAAAAACTGTGGCTAGGAACCAACAAACACATATATAAATATCAATCATACTATAATCAAAACGATAAGCATAAGTATATATAAAAATAGTTACCACAGTGATCCCAGAATTCGGGACACGGTTAAAACTTGCAAGACGAATAAACATATACTGATATAAACTATTCACTACTCCACGAGAAATCTTGCGCCTGCGTAGTCAGTCTGTAAACAGTTCCTAAAACTAGTTCTTTCACAATACATTCCGTACAGATCTTCAGGGGGAACTCAGAAATACACAGGGGTGACAAGCAGACTTTATACACGCAGCATGGCTCGCGTAACATATATACTACATATTAATGCGTACAATATCTTAATATTTTTATTTATAATAAACACAATATTCATATATTCTACATAATAATGCATACAATATCTAAATATTCTACATAATGATGCATTTCATTTTTCATATTTTTATTCAACTACAAAGCACGAGATAATACAAATAAAAAAGATCATAATTTACTATGAAGTTTGGACCCGCCTAACCAGAGTAGGTTGTTTTAATTGGTTGGCCCACTCTAAACGAATGAGAATTGCAAATAAAAACAATGTACATTGTACATTTTAAACATAAGAATGATGATAAATCAGGAAAAAGATAAGGAGGAGCTGACATGATACACAGTTTTTTTACAGATATAATTTGAATAACCATCTAAATAGATCTTGGCGACTTTTCTTTTAAACGATTTTGCAGATTTAGTTTCTTTCAGCTCTAATTCAATCGAATTCCATATTTTTGGAAAACATTCTAGAGTTTTAAAGAGAACCCGTTCAAGTTTATATGATTTTGTTCTATTTGGTTCAGCTAAAGAATTAAACATATCCTGGAAGGAAGCTGGAAGGTTTTCATAAAAGTATTTATGCATAAAAGATAGAACACCTAGTTTATATGTATCATCAAGATTTAGGAGTTCTAATCTGAAAAATATTGGATCTGAATGTGCCTTAAATGAACTATTATTTACTGCTCTAATGTTTAAATGTTTAAAAATTCTTCATAATAATGAATACAATATCTTTGCATTCTTCATATAATGAATACAAAATCTATATTTTCTTCATAATGATAAATACAATCTATATATGCAGTACATACTTTATCTATCTATATAATGTATAATGTATAATAATAAATACAATATCATATATTCGTAATAATAATGAATAAAATTCATCTTCATTGCTGCAGAAATTAACATGTCATCAGTTTATAAAGAAAACTGGCGACACTGATGTTTTATTGAATTCAAATAAATAATAATGGTGATTGATTATGTCGTCTTTCAGATATTTTTGCTTAAAAACATTTATTGGTGCAAATTTTTTAAAATTTTTTCTCAAAAATCTTATATGAATCACAACATTAGACCCAAATCCGGGCTTATTTAAGATATCGGCTTCTTAGTATACGATGACATTTGAATTCCTTACTAATCAAACCAATGCCAGTGCCAGGGTATTTATTGTTTACATTAAACAGTTAATAGTGAGATACCAACAAGGTTTATGATAATTCAACATATTCTTAAAACGTTTTATTCTATAAATCAAATAATTTGCCATGAATTTTTTTTCCTTGTTAAAGGCTTTAGGCACAGAATAATTTGTAGGTTTATTATTATCTTGTAGTTACTTGAAGTAATGATTAAAGATCCTTCATTCATCTCATTTTTTTTACTTCGTGTCATTTTATGTTAAAGGGAACAGTCACATAATTCAGAAGGAATGAAAGATTTTAAACATTGATACCAACATATATCCGACTTTAACCAATCGTTTGTTAAATTATTAAAAAATACTGAGAACAGATCTCATTAAAAGTACAGGGTGTTCCACGAAACATGACAGTTGGTAATTAGTTTAAAATGTCTTCTTCTATAATTTGTTTAGTTGTTTGATACCATAGCGAATGACAAACAAATATTTTAAGGCAGTCCTATAATAGTAAAATTGATTTCAAAGTAAAATGAATTTTACTAAAACAGTTTTAAAGAAATAAACTGCAAAAAGTCTTTTCTAATACAGCATATTGAAGAAGACATTAAAAACTATTCACCAACTGTTATGTTTCGTGGGACACCCTGTACATAAAATAAGAAGTATGTACTTTCAATCTATTTGCTTTATAACAACATCATTAACAATTACAATTACAATTACAATTACATGTGTACAACTGGAGTATGCACGTATAGCAGGTTCTATTACAATTACAATTACAATTACATGTGTACAACTGGAGTATGCACGTATAGCAGGTTCTATTACAATTACAAAACAATTACAATTACATGTGTACAACTGGAGTATGCACGTATAGCAGGTTCTATTAACAATTACAATTACATGTGTACAACTGGAGTACGCACGTATAGCAGGTTCTATTACAATTACAATTTCAATTACATGTGTACAACTGGAGTATGCACGACAAATTAGAAGATATTTGGAAGATATCTATCTAAAGGGATATTTAAGGATTCATTGAATATAACTTCAAAAATATACTGAATCCATAAATTCTATGTTTTAATTTTTTATTTACCAGGGAGAACTGACATCTTTACCGGGTAAAGTAAATTCCCGAGAAGTTCAGTTCTGCCGAAGGGAGTTCTCTCTATTAGTAAATATGTAGTTTTGTTCTTTTTCTAAAGCAACATTATTAATAACCGATGATATTATTTTTGCGTTGTTAGATACTGTCTTGTTTTTAGATATTATCTATCCAGGTGCATTTTAAATATATAAGATGACATTTCAGAATTTGAAGCATTTTATTTTATGTAAATGATAAAATATAATTGAGAAAGAATGTAAATGTTTAGCATTTTACAAACTTCGCAATCAAACTATTGAAAATCCGCAAAATATTGAAAAATTGGCTTGGACACGAACAAGACTGCTCCGACTTCATCTATCGATAGTGATCTAAGGAGAATATTAAGGAATATAGTCGTGACAGCTATATGACAGCATGAGGCTTCAAGAAATATTTAAAGATGGATGCTGCAGAGTTCGAAGGAAGGATGCCTTCTGAGGTAGAATAGCTCACTTACTTTCGCCATCTTCTAATTGAACGCAAGCTTGCATTTTCTGCAATATGGACTACCTACTTCAAAATAAACTCAGTTATTAAGTATGAAAAGTGTAGTTATAATATTATTATAAATATAAATTGTACAGAAATGTTTGAAACTGAGGTGGAAAATCCGCAAAACTTATTTTCCCAAGGGCAAACACATATATATTTACATGGTTCACTGTGAGAAGAAGTTAAATATCATACAAAGACAAGGTTATTAAGGTTGCTTAAAATGGAATAAATGTTTTTAGTCAGAGTACATCTTTAAAAATAGTAAAACTTAACCCCTAATTGGGTCTATACAACAAGTGGACGTTAGATGGTAGGAAAAAACCTTTCGTGGAAATGAAGCATTGCGTGCCGGACAACTTTAGGCTAAGAAAGCCTATCCAGTGAGAGCTTATGAGCAGTCTGACTAAATCTAGTCTGTGGTCTCACATTATAAATAATCTAAATTGCTCTTGTATGCTTCAGAACCCTGCTCCAAGGTAAACTAGTGCCATCGATCTCAAGCTCCAGAATGAAGGACTCCATCCTAAACTTCATGGTGTATGACTCCATCCTGAACTTCAGGATGTAGGAATTCATCATGAACTCCAGGGTGTAGTAATCCATGTTGTAGAACTCCAGGGTGTAGGACTCTATCCTGAACTCCAGGGTGTAGGACTCCATCCTGAACTTCAGGGTGTAGGACTCCATCCTGTACTCCAGGGTTCAGGACTCTATCCTGAACTTCAGGGTGTAGGACTCTCTCCTGAACTCCAAGGTGTAGGACTCTCTCCTGAACTCCAGGGTGTAGGACTCTCTCCTGAACTCCAGGGTGTAGGACTCTCTCCTGAACTCCAGGGAGTAGGACTCAAGCCTGAAATCCAGGGTGTAGGACTGACTCCTGAACTCTAGGGTGTAGGACTCCATGCTGTAGAACTCCAGGGTGTAGGACTCCATCCTGAACTCTAGGTTGTTGGACTCCAGGTTGTAGAACTCCAACCTGAGCTCTAGGTTTCTTAAGTTTATTTCTCACTTGTTGAAGAAATGCATGCGCTTGTTCCCGCCTTTCAGACCAACTTAAAAATAATATAAAATAATAAAAAGGTTGACATGCGTTGTAAATATATATGATTGAACAATGTTACCTCCAAAAGTAAATGCAAGGAGTAACGCAGCCCTAAAATAGGTTTCCATGTATACTAACTTTTCTAGAATATTGGCTGGTATGTAGTAAATGCCGTACTCTTAAAACTTCCCCCCAAACTGTATCAGTCCAGGTACAACCCATCCGCTATCAAAGACAACCAGGACACAATCCAACAGGCTACAATCCTGTGAACTATCAACGCCACTAACACTGGGCTCAATCTCGGTAGCTATCCAGGCTCTAAATGCTACACAGGGAAACAAGCGTAGCTATCAAACAAGCTATTACTAGGGTAGGATCTAAACCCGAATAATTTAATGGGGGTACAGTTACTCTACACTGTAGTTGAAGTGGAGTTCTGATTCTAACTAACTGTATTTCAGGTTTATCTGTTACAAGTTAAAGTTAATAGATTGAATTACAATTCCTATGTATATCGTAGTTAAGCTATCTCTACACATGTAAAAAGGTTAACTGTAAATATTAAAAGGCTACATATTTATTTGATACACAGTTCAAATGAATACTGATTTAGAAGTTTACAAACATAAATAATTAATAATGTACAAAGTACTGCAAATTTACAGAATATCATGTGACCAAATATTTATTACAAATTAGGAGGGGGGGGGGGG